AAAAATAACGAAAGTCCAGGTTTTCCGGGAGCTTTGTGTCTGATCGTTTCATTGTGGGGTGAGCACTGGACAGTCTGGTTCTGAAGTTCAACTAGGGAAAGAAACAAACAAGGGTGGACAGAGAATCCTGCAGAGAGAGCTGGGGAGGGAGGGGCCCCCCAGGTCCCGAATCGTGTAATTGTCCTGCGAGGACACGGCCGTGCTGGCTCATGAACAGACCCGCAGAGCGACACACAAACACAGAAGCGCAGGTGGACACAACATACGTGGGAAGGTGACACCTCAGCTTAGTGAGAAGTGACCGTGATAAGTGGCATTGGGACGACCCAGTCGCTATCCAGCAAGATAACTAATAAAGATAAAAGTTGCAACCATATCTCACACTGTACATCAGAATAAATTCCAAATAATCAATTATTTAAATATTAAAAATAAAATCATAAGTCACCAGCAAATCCCTTTACAACTGTGTAGTCAAGGAAGACTTTTAATTAAAACTGAAAATCCAAATGCAGTGAAAGGATTTACAGATTAAACTGCATCACAATAAAACTTCTGCACAAAAAGCTGCCATCAGCACATTTATGTCAAGACAGACAGTAAGAAAAAAATATATTTCACCACCTTTCACAACCTGTGCCTTTAGTATGTGAAGAGCTCCGGAAAGCAATAGAGACAAAGATCAGCAACCCAACAGATAGATGGGCAGACACTGTAACCAGACAGTTCAGGGAAAAGAAACTACAAAATCTAAGATGCTCAACCTTATTAGTAATAGAAAACCTATTAGGCTGGCAAAAGTCAAAATTTTTTATAATAGTTAATGAGACTGGAGACAGAGGCATTTTTATACAGTAAGTGAATAAATTTCATAACCTATTGGGAGGATAATTGGGAAACGGCTATAAAACAACAAAGGCACGTATCTTTTGGGCAATTGTACTCCTAGGAATTGGGTTTAAAGATACGTGCAAAGTGACACACATCAAAGCTGTTAGCGCAGCGTTATCTGTTATAACAAAAGATTGAAACAACTTAAAAGTCCATGAATAGGAAACATCCCTACGGTGGAATACTACGCAGCCTTAAACACGGAGGAGTTCTCCATGCACTGATTCTCGATATGTAGCAGTAAGCAAGAGGGCTGGGGGGAGTGCAGGGCACGCTACATACTACTCCTGTGTAAGAAGCGGGGGGCGAAAGGGGGCGCCCGCGCTTCCACTCGTTTCCATAAACACTAGGGTACCCAGAAACCAGTCACAGCTCCTAGCCTTCACATATAAAGAGCTCCGAGGAATCAACAAGAAAGTAATTTCCATCTGAACTGACTGCCCCTGACTTCAGAGACCAGTTATTTTAACACTATAGATAAAAAAGTTAATGTAAATATCATGTGCTTTGTATTTACCATCAGGCTTAGTGACAGGAAGTCTTCTCAAACACTACAAAGTGTATTTCCGTACAATACGATTTTCTGTTCTCTCTTTCTCTACCTTACTGATTGTGGACTCAGCAAAACCATGGTACCAGTGAGCTCCTTGGAACCCAGATCGTCCCGCAGAACCTAAAGCAACTTTGTCCAATGTCCCCCTAACACCAAAGGCTGGGGTCAGCAGGTGAAAGGTAGCTGGGCATCTCCGGTCATTCTCTCCCAGCTGCCAGCCAGGCATGGCTCATGGAGGACACAGGATGGACAGACCCCCGAGCCCGTGGAATCTGACAAGCCACCCTCCTGCCCTAGGAGGATCCCTCGGGGGGCCTCTGGTCCCACTGCCCCCGACACCCATTCACAGGAACAACATGGGCTCAACTGTCCCTCTCACCTGCCTCAGTGGGCACCTGGACGACCAACATTCACCTGGGCCCGGAGAACCTCGTGGGACCCGGCTGAGCTCACAGTGCATGAAGCCTGGAGCGGGGCCTCTCGGCGAGTGTGTGACTCCTGAGTGGACGCTGTAGTGGACGCTGTCTACTAGGCTACGGGGACTCCTGCTGGGTCCCTAAGGAAACCAGGCCCACCGTCTGGTCAGCGTGGGGTGGGGTGGGAGAGAGCCCCGATGGCAGTGGGAAGGCGCAGGGCTCTGGACATCAGAGTCCACTTGAAATGGTGGGCAGAGGAGCGGACACCCTCACAGTGGTCAACACCATGATGTTAAATGGAAACGCCCAGGGACTATCTAAGGGAAGGTCATCAGGACTGAAGACGTGAGGCTGACCAACGGGCCTCTCAGGCGATGAAGAGAAACAGCCAGTGTCCTGCGGAGCTGGACTCCAGGCCGGCCTCCTGGTGGCTGCAGTGTTGCTCATGAGGCAGAGGCGGGGATGCGGCTGGGACCCCAGCCAAGCAGAGCCTGGCTCAGAGGCCCCTGGGCAGGGACGGAGGGAGGCCTGGCGGAGGGCGGGGGAGGAGGAGGGGTGCGGCCGGACCCCCAGGACGTGTGAACAGAGATGCCCTACGTGGCTGGGCGTGCCAGCAGCCATCTGGACACAGCTAAACTTTAAAGGAAACCATTGCCACCATTTGTCCCTGCCTGCTGGACGCTGCACCTCCAGGTGCCTGTCGAGGTGTCGGATGCTCTCACACCCTCTGGTTTGTCCCCGATGGACAAACACCATGGGGCAAATGGGCCGCCCACAGACCCAGCCCGATGTTCCCTTCGGGGGTGTGAGGGGCGGGACTAGAAGGCGGCATGGGCTCCGTTACTGTACCGACTGCTAACCGTCCAGCGGAGGTGCCCGCAGGCACCGAGGGTCCCCGCACACAGGATGCCCCCAGCCCCCCCAGCTTTGTTCTCTGACCAAACCCTCCCCTGCCCCTCCCCAGTGTTCCCACCTCCCGCCTGCTCTGATCCCTCTGCTCCTGGGAAATCAGCTCTCCTCTAGTTCTGTCCCTGTAGCTTCCTCGTGTACATCTCTTCACATCGCCGCCTCCGAGCCCCTCCGCGTCCGTGTCCCCCTCCCGCCCAGCGCACCTGTCTCCTCCTGGGGGCCGGGGCGGGCGTCTTCTCCCCACCCGCAGGCACTGGCTCCCCTCAGCAGGGGCCCCTGCGGCCCTCTGCCCCTCACTGTCAGCCCCGGGCGGTGGGGCCTGGGGGCAGAGCCTGGTCCCTGTCCCCTCGCTCAGCGGCCTTCCCAGGCCTCAGGGCAGCCTTTCCTCACCCCGGGCCCCTCCCTCCTATGTCCTCGCTTGTTACTTTGTTGGTCCTTTGAGATCAGGCTGCTAAATGCCGTCCCCGGGGTGTCTCTCCTGGTCGCAGACCCTCCAGGCCCCATCCAGTCGCCCAGGCCCCTGGTCCAGATCCCGACGGAGGGAAAGGGAGCCAGGGGGCCGTGTGGCTCCCACACCCCTCAGCCCACCTCCCGCCAGCCCGGGACTGAACCCAAGTCCCTGGGACGGCCTCGGTCCTGCTCTGGGCCACAGCGACCGCCTGGCTCCCTCCGCAGCGCCTGTCCTCCCGGAAAGCTCCCAGCGTTCCGGGATCCTTCAGTCTCCCCAGTGGAGCCTCTTGCCCACAGTGAAGTATTAAGTTTCTGGTTATGTCCACTTATTACATAACTTCCATCCAAGCAGAGAAAACAGAATTACCAGCTATTACAGGGAAGAAAAAGTGAGCCTGGAAACGCAGGAACCTGACCCCAGGGGACACAGGGCCTCTCTGGGCACTGACCACACAGGTGAGGGGTGGCTCCTGAGGGCTCTTTACTGTTTGACCCTTTAAAGAAACATTAAGTCTAAAAACGGGGAGTGGGAGCATGAACCTCAGGGGGCCGGTTTCGAGAAAGGACTTACTCTTGGCCCGACCGAAGCTGCGCTGCAGGCTGGGGAGGGCTCAGCTCTCCTGGAGGTCTCCAGATAAAGCAGGCCTGGGTGGGCTGAAAGGAAGTGCCGCCCCGGGGCCCAGCAAGCTCGCTTTCGTCTAGAACCACAGCAGTGAGCACGGGGCAGGACAGACGTCTGAGGGCACCAGCCGGCCGGGTCCCAGAGCCGTCCTCTGAGCCGCCCCTGAGCGGGGCAAGGCTTCGGACGCTCTGTCTCCTGCATAACAGAGCCAACCTGTGGTTCGCTCCTGGTCCTCTGGGAGACCCTCCGGAGAGCGCGTTTCACCTGCACCCAGGGCGCACGGGCCCATTCCCTGCAGCTGCCTCGGTGCCTTACTGAAGGGCGCCACCCCGCGGCTCGCCAGGGCAACGCGACACCCCTCCCGAGGCGGAAACAGCTGCCCTCTGCCCTGACAGGAGACAGACTTGCGGCCCCCTGGTCTCCCCACCCCCTTCCTGACCCAAAACCTGCAGCCCCAAGACCAGGCGGGGGGAGGAGACCTGACTCTAGAGTCTCGACATGGTGCTTTATGCTGAATGTGCTCAGAACACACACAAATCTGAGCTTTTATTATTTAAAAAAAAAATCTTTATTGATTTCAGAGAGAGGGAGAAACATCAATGAGAGTAATTGAACGGCTGCCTCCTGCACGCCCCCTGCTGGGGATCGAGCCCACAACCCGGGCATGTGCCCCGACCAGGAATCCAACTGTGACCTCCTGGTTCATAGGTTGATGCTCAACCACTGAGCCACACCGGCCGGGCTCCTGTTTTTTTCCTTAGAATTGAGCAGACGCTGCCCGACAGCGATGCGCTGACTGCTGGGTCTGGAGGTCGGGGGAACCTTACTCACTGGCGCATACGGCGTCGACACTCGCTGCATGGAGAGCGCACAGCAGACACTGCGAAGCTGAAATGAACAGGGACCTGCCCACTCACAAGGCAGCCCTTCGGGTGGGTACCGTCCAACAGCAGGCACGCCAAGGGCCCTGCCCCTCCTGCCACCTGGCCTCCACATACCCTCCCTACGTGTTTATCAGACGTGCTGGATGGCAGGGAAGGGCTTATCAGCTTGAAATGCACCAAATATTTAATGTGCCCAGTCCACCCAGAGAGCAAATCTCTTCTTCAGAGGAAGATGACAAGTAGTAAGTATAGAAGACACAGCAAAAATTACACGATTTTACATCCACCAGTTCAGGCACATTTATTGACGGGAGCGAGCGACGGAAGCACGGCTCCTGGGAAAACGGCCACGAGGGTTCAGGTGGCTTTCGGGAGCTGTGACAGGCAGACGTCTGTGCTGAGGGAACCGGCGCCATCCGCCTCATCAGAAATGACTAGCTTCCATCACCAGGAAGGGAACAGTAACACACGTGCGCCCAGATGTGCTGCTGGGAAGGACATGCACCGCGAGGGGAACGTGTGCCCCCGGTGTCCCCTGGATTCCCGACTTGACACTGTCGAGTCCGTTCTAGACGGGCTGCCGACGTGTGTTCATGGGGCTGCTTCACTTGGGCTTCTTGGCTAAATGAACTAGCATCTGCTGCTGCTCACTGAAGGCCCAGATCCTCAGCAGGGCCGTGTGCGTGAGCCTGGCGGTCTCGCCCCACTGGTTCTTGGCCTGGCTGGTGAGCGTCGCCAGGTTCTCTGTGTACTGCAGGATCGACCTTAGGAACCTGTTTAAAACATTAATTTCTTTATTCCACTGAAAGATGTGACAATGATTCAAATGTTTTCTATTTTGGAATTATAACTAACGTACTGAACTTAATTTTTATCTGTGAATTCAAGAAAAAGTAGTGCACACAAAATGTAAACAGAACACAAATTATGTGAGCGAGGGAAACGCTGACGGGTCACTGCCACTGGAGAGATGGAGGGACCCCCAGAGTCTCTCTCACATTCAATGCCCATTTAAAAAAACTGATTTGAGGGAGAGAGAGAGGGAGAGAGAGAAACATCAATCGGTTGCCTCCTGCACACACCCCTACCAGGGACCAAACGTGCAACCCAAGTGTGTGCCTGACCAGGAATCGAACCTGTGACCTTCCGGTGCCCAGGACGACACTGAGCCACATCAGCCAGGGCCTCAACGCCTTTCCAGACTTACTCTCAAATCCAGACAGGACATTTTTACATGACGGACCTGCCCTAGGTTAAACTGACACGTAATACACACACTGTGGCACTCAGGGGCCCTGCAGGTAGTGTCCCCCTATCTCTGCCCTGCAGTCGGCTCCACCTTTCAGGAGCAGGGCCCCACGTCATGGGAGATACCCCACTGTCAGGCAGCTGCTGGTCTTAAATGGTTTTCCTTAAAGACACTCGTCAGTGGTCAGAGGCTGACTCGTGGGAATGTTACTTTTACATTCTCTGAGTTTTCTCTCCCCCAAATTTTGCAAGTAGTCTAAAATTTTCTCTCCAACTTTTAAAACGCTCAAAACTTTTCTAACTTAGAAGTTGAAAGAATAATACAATGGATTTCCATAGATTTTTTGCCAAGCGAGTGGTTCTCAACTGGGAGTGACTCCGCTCCCCAGGGATATTTGGCCTCATTTAAACCATTCCTGTCGTACTGGGAGTGCTGCTGGCATCCAGTGGGCTGCCAGTCATCCTGCAGTGCACAGGATGGCCCACAGCCCCCACCAGGCACAGGTGGTGGTGTTTTAAAAAATCACCAAGGAAAATTACCAACAGGAGTGGAAATTACTTACTTGAGGTACTGCTGGTGTCCACAAGTGGTTTTCCCATGAACGCTGTGAATGTTGACCAATTCCAGTGCGATCAGCAACAAAATCAGGGAGAGCGCAGGAGACAGAAGCTTAATGCTAAAAACAGATAAAATAAATTAAGGTCTGTTAGATACAATGCTTTTCAATTTCATAAGGAAAACAATGTTTCACCTGACCTGCCCTTTTTTCAAGAGTCCTGAAATCCAAACTTCCCCAAAGAACACGGGGCATCCACCGCTGTTTCCCCAACCACGGGGCCTGTTCCACAGCTGTGCCAGGAAAGCCCTCGGAGAAGCCCGGCTGCCTGCCAGCCAGGCCCTGCCCTCCTCGCACTCCTCCCAGGGTGCAGCAGCTCTGTCTAGTTCTAAGCTAGGGGCCTGCCCTCCAGTGGCTGTACTGCCCCTCAGGACGGAGAGGACGCCAGGCCCTGCACCCAGACCTGCCTGCACACCCTTTCTCTCTGCATTTGTCAGCATCTGTCTTCCCATCTGATAGGAAAAACCTCTCACAGGAAGAGTAACAGAAATGGTTTAAACATGAAAATGTGTTCAATGTCTCTGGGACTCAAAGAAATTCCACTTAAAGTGAGAGATTATCTTTCCCATAAAGCTGGTAGGAGTTTTAAACATATTGTTTGGGGAAGGATGTGACGTAACAGGGACCATCTCATAAACTGCTGGTAAGAGTGTAAATTAGTTTTCAGAAGCAAAGCAGGAATTTAAAGCTTCATAGACACCACTCAGCTCAAAGTTCTAGGCGTCTGTCCAAAGCGGTAATTTCCTAAGGACGCAGCACACCCTAAAATGCACAACATTTGTGAAGAAACCGTAGTGAGGGCACCCAGGCTGCCTGCTATTGTCTTGAGATCCAAATTGATTTGGTTGGCGAAACCCCTATTCCCACAGGCCGAAATCACAGTTATGGTAAAGTAACACATACCCTAAGTTTCTCTAAAAATAAGTATTTCTCTGAAAGCAAAAATCAAAACTGCATCCAAAGTAACACCTGCCCCCAGTGCTCCTTCCAAAACCGGGCAAGAGCCACACCTGCGTAACAGGCGCAGGAAGTTCTGCCTCTGCCGGGAGCGCAGTGTCTTCTCCATCCACTGCCGGTGCCTCTGCTCCAGGGCGGCAGCCACCTGCAGGGACACGCGGGCACAGCAGCTGCAGATGTGTCTGAGCACAGCCAGCACTTCCAGGGCGGCTCTAGGGCAGAAGAGCGTCGGGACGCGGATGCTGCAGACGTCCTGGAGCGGCTGGGGCCACCTGCGGGTCAGAGCGCGACTCCCTTGGTGAGAGCACAACTCCCGCGGGCACATTCCACACCACGCTCCCGGGGCCGCCACACACGGACCTGCTAAACTGAATCTGGTGAGCGGCCAGCTCGCGGTCTGTTTTTGGCCACGAGCACACCTGTTAACATGGCAGGAGTTCAATCCACGCAGGCTCACCTGTGGTGAACTGTCGGCGCAACCAGGGCCCGAGAGTGTCGAGGCGCATCTAACACGTCCTCCCGGGGGCAACAGGGGGTTCTGATGCTACCATCTCGCTCATACAATTTATAACAGGGAAACAGCTAAGCGTGAGACCCCAATCTGCTTAATAATGTTTGAACGATTTTCAAGATGAAACTCACTTCTCAACAGGAAGGTTTTCCAAGTGGTCGAGAGCACAGTGACTTCCTGGCGTGTGGTGATACAGCTCGGCCAAGACTTTCACAATTAAAGATTCGCAGGCATCTGTCTCAGAATCGCCTTCTAATCTAAAAATAGAAAACAGCTAAGTAAACATGACCGTAGTTAAGACGCCCAAGCAGCACCGGCACAAAATAACCTTGGTGTGACTGGTTCACAGATTGGTTGAGAAAGCACTCAATCTGAAGGCTAGTCTCCCCAGATGGGAAATGAGAAGGCGCCATCGCAGGCAGTGGTGAGAGTCAATGGTGCCCTGGCCAGGTGGCTCGGCTGGCTGGAGCGTCATCCTGTGCACCAGAGGGTTGCAGGTTCGCGTCCTGGTCGGGGCATGGGCCCAATCTGCAGGTTTGATTCCCAGCCCAGCCGGGGGGTGTACGGGAGGCAGCCGATCAATGTCTCTCACTCTCCCCCTAAGTCTCTCTCCAAAATCAATTAAAAAGCATATCCTCAGGTGAAAATAATTAAAAATAGAAGTCAAGGGTTCCACATGCTAACAGCCAGGCATGTGCTGACAGAGGTGACCTATGCACCTGTCTCTGATTCTAGGATCCCCAATTTCTCTGCCTCCACTTCTCTCTTGAGAGTCAGACTCCTTTCTAACTGTCCACTAAATATTTCTAGTGGACATTCTCGGTCTCCGCAAATACCCACCCAGACTGAGCTCTGGGTGGGGCGGTCACTGCTCTTCCTCTCATCCCCGGCTCCCCCAGTCTCCAAGGCCCAGCAGTCCCTCCTCGGCACTTCCTCGCCCAGCGGCCTTGCTGACGCTCCCTGGCAACTACGAGGTCCGCGTGTCCCCAGGCGGCACCCACCTGGCTGCTTCCTGTGCAGCGTCTTCAGGCAAAGGCAGCAGAGGCCAAAGCCGGATGCCCTCCTCACAGCTCAGCACCTGAGAGGAAGAGGTCTACGTGCTCTTAGAGGTTTGACAATGAAGTCCTGAAGCATGTTCTTAAATTGCTACAGGTGTGGCAGTTACTTTCTAGAAGCCTGCTTGCAAACGAGGTGGTGGGTGTCAGTCGCTCGTTATGAGGTACAGAAAGCCCGGAGAAACTACTCGGGGCTGGTTGGTAGCAATGTCTGGAGCGGCCATGAAGCTCGTTTGACACTCCAGTCAGGGGCCAGGGCCCAGTCCCCTCCCCGAGTCAGGACTGGCTTTAGTGGGCAGAAGTCACAGGAGCCTGCAGAGGAGGAGAGGCTGCTGGGAGACTTTCCAGGCCGGGCCAGGAGGGTGGCGCTTCTCCCTGGCTCTGTGGGCCAAGTGTTCTGGGTGAAGACACGGAGGCCTCAGCGAGCAGGCCCCGCACCAGGTTCTAGTGTCAGATGGGACACCAGCCCTCACAGCTGGTCCAAACTTCTGACCCACGAAAGTGTAAGGATGCCCTGGCGGGTAGCTCAGCTGGTTGGACTGTCCTCCTGTGCACCAAATGGTTACGGGTTTGATTCCCAGTCAGGGCACATACCTAGGCTGTGGGTTCGATCCCCATCAGGGAGAGTATAGGAGACAACCAATGGAGGCTTCTCCCTGCCCCCCATTCTCTCTCTAGGAAAAAATGTGTAAGGAAATTAAGTGGCTGTTGCTGACACCACTGAACGTGGGTAACTTGTTATGCAGCCGTAATAACCTGAGCATCATTTTTAAAAGAACAGGATGCACAATCATCCACCAAATAAAAAGTAAGTAGTAGATGGAGTGAGAGGCTACAGGAAAAGGTGAGAATCTGAAATCCCCACGGTGGGGAGAGGGGAGGGCAGCGACCAGAAACAGGAAGCAGCGACTTGCAACAAGGAGGCCAAGGCCAGCGAGGCCTAAAGACACCTCCACCCGAAGCCCCTCTTCCCTCCAGAAGCTTCCCCCTTGGAGACACCTGGTGCCCTGCAGGCAGGTGTCCTCCCTTGTAGTGACACATCCTGGGAAACCTCAGGTTTGCACAGGTCCAGTGGGTGCTACAGCCAGTGCGTCCACCCATGGAGCCCACCAGGCACTTGGGGCTGAACCCTCCTCTCAAACAGCACAGGGTGGCACCGCCTCCAGGGCCCTCTCTTCTCTGCACGTCTCCTGCGAGACCCCTTCTAACTGGTTCAGCTTTCCTAAGCCATCACTGGACCTGGTTGTCTCAGAGCACCACCTCCCTCACCGCCTCTGCAGACGCTCCTGACCGCACGTGCAGACTGCAGCGGGTCTCAGGGGCGGTCCCACTGACGCGTTCCTAAGTCAGCCACTATGGTGATTGCCATCTGCTCGGGCACAGCTGTTCCTGCCCCTTGGACTACCTTCACACCCTACAATATGCAGAATAAAGTACCAAACTGCAGTACCTGGCAGGATGCTTTAAACGTTTTCTGTTTGCTTGTTTGTTTTAACAAAAGCTGGTAAAAAAACTGACACTCGTCATCCCTGACTAAAAACTGTTACCCGTCCTGGGTTAGTGATGACAACAACCTGCTGGGCACTTCCCAACAGCCACCCACTTAGCATAAAACACCTGACAAAGCACACACACTACCGTCGCTTCAGCTGCTGCACCCAGAACCTGAGGCTCAAAAAAACATAGCTGCTTGGCCAAGGCCATGCACCTGAGCCACCATGCGAGGCCACACAACTGAGTGACACACTTTGGTTAGAGAGCCAGATCTGCCAACCCCAAAGTCCGCCTTGGCCAGGCTGGACTGCACCCCTCGAACCTCTGCAGCAGACATGCACACACCTGTTTTTTAAGCAGAGCAACTGGATGGAAGCGAGCACTGTACCCGTCTGCGAGACTGACCAGTGACTTTACTGCTGCTTTTTCCTAGTTTAGGAAAAACACACGTAAGTTACTGCAACTTTTGGTTAGGCTTCTAGTTTTCTTCTACTGAATTTAAAGTCACATAAAGTTCTGATTTCTCATCGTTTCCCTTCATATAATTCCATTCAGCTGTAACTGGGCAAAACTCTGTCGAATAGGTTTGAGATGTTGGTCACATCATAACCAACAAACTGATTTTCAATGAAGCTGATTAACAGTGATAAATTAAAAAGGTCACATCCCCTCTTGTCCACAATGCAACAAAACTAGAAATAAGTAAGATTCCAAACATTTGGAAAATTTAAAAGATTCTCCTAAAAAATAGGGTATAGAAATGTAAACATTAAGACTCAATACACTTAAGAATTCCCAATTCCTTGTTCTCATGGAAGCATAACGTCAATCACATAAATTCAGCAAAAAAAGCTTAACAGTTAGTTACACTTAAAATCTAGCTACATCCTTCCAGAGCTGAATGACAGTGATCGATTCGTTACCTTAAACACTGACGCTGGGTCGTCGTCGACGAATCTCAGGAGAAGCACAAGGGAAAATGCAAGCAGCTGGCCTGTGACTCCTTTTGGAAATGCAGGGAGGCTGACTTCCCCGTGGCTTAAGTGATCTCTCACCCGGGGGCCCTCCTGGTGGTTCAGGAAATCCCACAGAAATTCCTTTCAGGAAATAAACAGAGAAATACTTTGTTAGTTTTCTCTGAGAGGGAAGGAAAGTGCCACAGCCCCCGCCTGACACATGTAAGGAGCACAGTGGTCGTTTACAGACCAGAGAGGTGAGCCTCAGAGAGACTGAATTCAAGGCCACATGACTGCAAAGAACAGAGCTGGATTCCTGTGAGAACCCCTGCTCTAGCTGCACCCTGCTTCCTCAGGCAGGACTCTCCCGGAAACCCCTATTCTATCTGCACCCCACTGCCCCGGGCAGGACTCTCCTGGGAACCCCTTTTCTAACTGCGCCCTGCTGCCTGGGGTCTGACAGGAGGGCTGGGCACCCTCAGGTGTAAGCACTACCACAGAGCTGTGTGGATGGGCGCAGTGCTCAGTGAAACTCACCCCTTCCTGTTCTCAGCTCCTGCATGGAAGACGACTGCTGTGTCCACATCTGGGAATGACTTTCCCAGGCAATGAAAGGCACCCACTGGCTGCTGCCTGAACACAGCCCTTGCTTTCTGTCTCATGCCTCTTTCTTTCTCAGGTGCCCTTTCTTTCATCACTGAAGCCCAATGAAGGCAGCTGCTCTCTAACAGCCCAAGTCTTGGGTCTGTCCCACAGGTTAGGGGGAACAGGATCAGAAAACCGCTGACCTAGGCAACTTCAGATCGACGAAGAGCTACTGGTTGGAGATGGAGAAGCGTATTAGATAAGCGAGCTCCTCATCCAAACTTCCTGACGGCAGAAATGGGCACCCAAACAGTGGACGAAACCTAAGTCTCAAAGCAGGAAGGAGCACCTTGGCCACCAAATCCCAGCCAGAAGGAATAAATGCAGACGTTCTACTTATAGCCCAAAGTAGCCTCTGCAGTGTCGCCATGAAATTCAAAAAGGCGCGAAACAGAAAGGGGCTCTAGATGGCTGCTCCCCTCATCGAATGCTCCATCTCATTCACCTCCTTTGGTGTCGTTGCAGCTCCCAAAGCAAACACTGTCCCTCCTACTAGCACATGCACATAAGCAACGAGTTCACACAGTGCGTGGAGCAGGGCCACCGCACCCTCAGGCCTTAGAGAAAGGACGTCTGAGTACCTAGCACGACCCACAGGGCCCGAGCTGCAGTCAGGGCTTTAGCCGAGTCTGCTGCAGAGAAGAGGTGGAGACGGTGTGCGATGGCTCGGAAGCGCTCTCTGAGCACATCACAGGCCAAAGCGAATGCCGGTCCCGAGAAGCGCTAACCACACACACGGACACAAGGACACCGGCCTGGAAAAGACCCAGCACTTTACCATCGTGGGCTCTCCGAGGAAAAGAGGAAGCTGGTTGATTTCACCATCATTCAAGTGTTTTGCCAACATCTAAAAGAGCAAACGTAAATGAACTAACTGGTAATACACACAGAGGACTTTCAGAGTCGAAGGGTCAGTACCTTTGCTATGAACCGTGAAATAAGCCCCAAGCCAACCACATGAAGTCAGGGGAGTTGTAAAGGAAACCACCGTCTGTTCAGAAAAACTTACCTGTGTAACGATGTTAGTATGTGTGTCTTCTTAACTGTGAGAGTGCGTGTGTATGTATGTTTACTGTTATGTATAGTTACGTGTATTTACATATATTTGTGTGTACATGAGCATATATGTGCATGTGTGTTTGTATTTATAAGTACATGTGCTTATGCTTATGTACACTTGCATGTTTGTAGACCTGTATATGTGTGTATTGGTATGTAAATGTATTTGTATGCACATGTGTGAATTTATGTCTACTTGAACGTATATGTGGGTATCTGTGTACTTGTATATATGTATCCATGTATGTGTATTTATGTCTACTTGTGTATATGTGTGTGTGTTTGTATGTATACGTGTTTGTATCCTTGTATGTGTGAATACATGTATGTATTTGTATATATGTACACGTGTATATGTATTTGTGTCTACTTGTATACATGTCGTATCTGTGTCTACTTACATGTACACGTGTGTATGTGTGCTCAGTACCCACCACAGTTACTTCATGAGTCACTTAGCTCACAAGGACCATGGAGACCAAGCACCGACCCAACCCTGCAGACGTGACCCTACTCAGACCTGACTGCACTAATTCAATATACACTCAGTAATAGCAACTCATTTACCTAACGGGATAATCTCTGCGGGTAAGCAGGCACCTCTCTTAATTCACCCACCACTTGTTGTTCACTTAGGAACTAACTGTCATACCAAAAGGCAAAATGACTGCAAAGCCCACCTCTCCACAGGAGACTTGCCCCCGTTTCCTCACGGAGGTAGCTCTGTGGTGTCATGAGCACTTCAAGGTTTGTAAGAATTACTACCCAGGATGACACACACAAGCCTCTGTACTCTACAAGCGACGGAAGGCATTTTCCAGGGTAATTTACACTGTTCCAGATTTTCACCTTCAGAACCCCACACCCACATGCACCAATGAACACCATACTCACAACAGCAGCTGATGTGCATTTCCTGTGCAAAACAAGTTAGCGTTAACCTTGAAGCTAACATGTGAGCCTCCAAATTAAATTAGCAGCATTTAACGTTAGTATCCCCGGGCATTTTCCAGCATTGGTCTCTCTACAACTTTAGAAACTTGGTTAATCATATTGGGTCTCAATGAGCCTGAAAACTATACTCAACTCTACAGGGTTTTTTGCTTAATGACTACCAATGTTTTCTTGTGTGTGAATTATGGCTAATCTTTAATTCCGTATTTTAAAAGAATACAATGTTTTGTTTGTTTTAAGTTTACTTACTTCATCAAAGGTGGTGTAAAGAGCTGTTGACTGCAAAAAAGGAAAGAAAAGAAATAATTAAAGCAAAACACAAGCAGAATGACACTACTCAAAGCAGGAAAAAAATCTTACATGCCAACAAACAGGAAAACTTAGCTTGAAAATCAATCTTCACCTAGCAACACTTCGGGAAAAACGTATGGACAAAACACACGCAATACAAACACATGAAAACCCAGTGAGCCTGGCTGTGAGAACCCGGCCCGTGCAGGTTTAGCTCAGATACTTCAAACACTCAGGGTCCTGGGACCTCACAAAGCACTACTCACACCCACAGAGTATTTCTACTAATGGCTGGTATCTGCGCGAAGCAAGAACAACTGAATATTTTATGGCTACAGGGAGAAAATGAGTGGCTACTAGTTTCATTACATCGCTAAGTTTAAAAGGCTACTTAGAAATATTACAGAACTACCAAAAACAATAAATAAAGTAAACCTAAGTCCTATAAAGTTACAATAGAAAGCCACAAAATATGACAGGTAAGCCTTCCAAGGAGAACTCTTAGCTAAAAAGTTCATTTAATGCAAACAAAAACAAGATGTTAAGATCATTTAATGAGGCAGAGGGACTCACTACAGCAACAACAACCAGCCTTTAGCGTACACGTACCTCCGCAGTCAGACGTCTCTTTGGACACCTATTAACTGTGGCAAACAGGTTCCGAAGCCCAGTCTCCAGCTGTGTCAACAACAACATGGCACAGTCGGCGAACCTGTGAAATGGAAGGAAGTCAGTGCAAGTCCCGCTGTGGGGTGGACACTGGCACCCACACCCAGTAACGGGGCTGTACCCAGGCGGGACCATGGTGTCCAAAGGAGGGTGACATCACTGCCTAAAATGAGACAGAAACAGAATCAAACTAGTGATTTTAAACCTGCTTCCCAGAGCTTTCACGTTTGATGGGTCTTTTTTCGTGCCTCAGTAGGAAATGTCATCAAAAGCTGCCTAATTCCTTTCCTTTCTAAAAAACACTCAGAGCCCAGGACTTTGGTGGGTCCTCAGAGTCTGGGGATGGCCGTGTCAGGAAATGTAACTTGAAGGATTGAAGACCACTGGCCCCCTGAAGTGTGTGCACAGCCTGCCCTCGGGGATAAGAGACACACCCAGTGTCCTCTGTTTCACGATTTGCTAACACTGGACATGGTTTCACTCACAGTAAAAACCCAATAATTTTTAAAAGTTGATTCTAAAAAATAATCTGTATCCACTGTGCTGTGATGCTGAACACAATTACGAGTCTTTACTGTCACAGGAGGGTGTGCTATGCGCAGCTCTCCCGCGTCAGCCCACTCCCGTGAGTTAGATGCCAGCAGCAGAAAGGCCTGGAGGCAGAGGGTCTGAGGAAGGACTGGCCTCCAAACTCCAATCACCACTCTTTATTCCCCCTCCGTTACCTGTGTGACTTGAACTTGATTAAAGCGACTTCCCAATACGGCAACATGATCCTTAGTATGAAAGAGGATTTCTTCATCACTTCCTCCAACACGGAAAGTACCTCGTGAGTAACATCTGCAGAACAGCAGGGCTCTTCAGTACAATCGACTAAGAAGTGAGCGCACTCATGGGGTGAGTGAGGCCGTGAGTCTGTCTCTCCATGCAGGTGAACCGAAGCCCCAGGCAGCTCGTGCCGTCCAAGGGGGAGGAAGACCACCCTGAAGCTCAGCTGTAGGTGACCCCAGGTAACCACAGGTGCACCTGGGGACAGCAGACATGGACAGCTGCATCTCTAGTGATTTAGGCTATGACTTTCTGGAAAGGGGTTCAAGGTGGACCAGCTGACCATACTGACCAAGACAGTATATTTTTAGAAGACACAGGAGTAAGAGTGAATGCTGAGGTAAACGACGAACTCTGGGTGCTTATGACACGTCAAAGTAGGTTCATCCTTGGTGACAAGTGCCCCATTCTGGGGGGGGAGACCGTGCATGTGGGCAGGTAGGGGATGTGTGGGAAATCTCTGTACCTCCCTCTCGACTGTTATAAACTTAAAACTGCTCTAAAAAAGTGTCTTAAAATGTACCCATATTACTGGCAGTCACCAAATACTGAAAGGGTCTATGGTACGAAAAGGCTGAGACCGGGAGGGAGCGTGATCGGTACTATCCCCTCCACAATTCTCATTGGCAAATACAGACCTGAGACCTCGACCACCAATGTAAAAAAAAAAGGACTTGGAGCAAACACCCAGTTTAATAGCTTTGAAGGACAGACTGAATCTACCACTAATACTGATCATGGAGACCCACGGCAACCGGGCACAAGGGGAAAGGCCAGGCTCGGGTGGCAACATTTAACATGAAACTTCACGAACTTTCAAAGGCATGTAGCACAGGAGACTATTCCACCTAGAGTTCAGGCTTGGTGCTGCTCGATGACTTTGCTATAAGGATACACCTGGGGGACCTGAGGTGCAGTACTTGCCAGGGAAGACGACCAGGTCCTCTGAGTCCGTGAGTGTGATGAGTGGCCGACAGGCCACTGTGCATCCAGTCTGCTGAAGGTAGGCCTCCAAGAGCTGACCCAGCCCGGCTGTCAGCAGCACCATCATTGAACAGTACCTGGTGGGAAATGCCAGAGACCAGATGGAAAACCAACTCAGTTGTACATATAAGAGGTGTTCAAGACAAAAAGTTCAAAACTAAGAAAGCAAAGCAATGCAACGTCGGCTGGGAGGAGCTGAAACCACAGGGATCCCCCCCAGCAGGCAGCTTGCATGCCTCCACAACCCCTACCCCCCGGTGCAGGTCAGCCATCAGCTATGGCATGACCGTCACCCCTACAGGGACTTCACTTAACATTCAGTTTTATCTTCACAGTCCTGTCTCAGAGCTCCCCCATCCGCTGGAGACTAAAGATAAGCTTCTGACACCTCCCAAAGAGGAGCAATTCACGGCAACCTACTGCGGAGGGACCTCCTGCGGTGCCGCGAACCCGTGCCATAGGACATTGCGTAGGTTGAGTCCACGTGGAGAGCCGATGAAAACTGTCAGCACGTTCATCTAGTTGGGGAAAGGACGCAGAATCAGTCATCTATAAACCCCTGAATAAACAGTTCCTTCCTTAGAAAGGATGAGCCACAGCAATGTGGCTACTTAGTATACAATCATCGTTGCAGAAGAAACAATAACGCAGCATTACTGGGCAGTCAGCACCTGCATCTGTCACTCCCCTCAGAACACCCGTGAAGAGGCACTACTGTGACTTCCACTCCGCAGGTGAGAGGAGCATGCAGAGGGGACCCCAGGGCAGGGTGAGACCTGTCCCAGGCTGTGCTGGGCATCAAACAGCCTAACATTTAGACGGAGCAACACAGAAAAGGCCCTGGCACAGACATGCCTCAGGGCAGCGTGTGACTGTGTGTAAACCAGGATGGGCAGCTCAGAGGGGGACCACTGAGACTTTGGCCAGCTCCCTCCTCTATGCGAAGAGTCCCCCCACCTGTAAGTGAGGACACACCCATTCCAGGGACTCTGCTGGAGACTGCGGTCAACATGTATTTATGTTCATGGTGACCTCTGGGTGTGCAGCATGCACTTTAGAGATTCAGATACAATGAAAGATGTCCAGAGACTCAAAGAACTTGTCACGCTGGCAGTGAAAACAGCTGGGCCCCAGCGACTCAGAGAAAGGAAAGCTGCCTTCATGTTCATGCACCTGAACAGAGGCTGAGAAGAGCAAACGGGGGCATCCTGCCTCCCCTCAGGGTACAGCAGGAGCCAGGGCGTGGACGCTACAGCGGCCTCAGCTCAGTCCGCAGGCTTCACAGCCGCTCCTCAGCGCTGCTCCAATAATTTTAATACTTTAATATGAGCAATTAATGATTGTAACAATACACACAATTTAACGTCATTGATTCTTAATTTAGTATTGAACTTATTCATGCCATCCGGGCAATGAGAAATCCATCATCGGGGGTGAAAGCTGCTGCAGGTCCACAGAAGGCTGAGCACCCAGGCGGACAAGAACATATCAGAACAGCGGCACCCACTTAAGAAGCCAGTGTAGAAGAAGACACCTGTATTCCATCTTCACTCCACACTCCCCGGAAAAGAAACCACCTCCCGGACGGGACGACAAGGAACAAGGAACCGCTGCAAACCGGGGGAGCTTGACTGCGAGCAGGTTCCGTCCACACCCCGTGGAGCCCGTGGCCCGGTGCATTATGCAAACGCCCCCTGGCTCACCTCCTTCTGCGCCCGGCAGCACCTGGCTTTCTCCTTCACCTGGACCTGCCTCTTCTAGCTGCCTAAAGGTTAGTCTTAAACAGTCTTGGTCCTGGCCGTCTAGGAGACTGAAAAAGTCTAGAGCGCTGCAGGTTTTCTGACTGACTTTCACATTTTGCCCGCCAGGAATTTGCAGAGTTCCACAGGGCGTAATTTCCAGGTTAAAAACACTGATATTTCAGAACATTGTAATGTTCTCTTTGAAGAGTTAAAATTTTATTCTAGAATAAGTTATACATAATTAACGAAAGCAACAGACTTAAAACTGCTCAGATGACTGGCGCCCGGGGTCATGACACTGGAGGCACCACACCAGAGCCTATTTACACACTAAGACCAGGGTAGCAGGGATGTGTATTCTGGCTTGAAGAGGGGTGGTTTTGAAAGGAGAGATGGGAAGAAAAATATGCTTAAAACTGGATTAATTTTTTCCTATGACCAGGATCAATTTTTGAGGAACACAATGCAGCAAACATTGACTGCTCTGTGCTGTGCGCTTTATGGGCTGTGGGGAGCAAGCTTACCACAGACTGCCCGAAGACTTGAGCAAGCTCCGCGGAGGCAAGCAGATCTCTTAAAAGAAAGGGGCATTCCTTTCCAACCAGTAAAAATACCTAAAATTCAAACAAAAATCATGTCACAACTGCATTCCGATGAGCCAAGTGACATTCAGAAAAAAAAAAAAAATCACTCATAAAGCAACTGCCTGGACAAATGGTGGGAGACAAACACTGAAGATACCAATGTTTTAATTTCATATACATTCAAAAAAATATATTAAAAATCTATACCAAATCATTGTATTTTATAGGAAAATGATCATTAAAATCAAGGAATCTGCCCTGGCCAGTCTGGCCCAGCTGGCTGGGCATCGTCCTGTGCGCTGAAGGGTTGGTGGCTTGATTCCCAGTCAGGACACAAGGCCAGGTTGCAGCTCGGTCCCCAGCAGGGGGCAGCTGATCAATGTTTCACTCTCACATCAATGTTTCTCTCTCCCTTCATCTCTCTCTAAAAAGCAACAAAAATATTTAAAATAATAAAATCAAGGAATATGAGGGTGACTGTATCGTAGTTTAACTTCCATTCAGGTACTTATTGGCCCGACAATGAAAGAGTTTTCGCACTTACATCACCCAGGGACCGTTCCAGACAGGATGTCAGCTTCATCAGGCTAAGAGAAATGGCAGGAGACTGAAGACTCTCCAGGGCATCAAATATTTCTGGAAACAACTATTTAAAATAAAAAAATGTGAGAGTTTATGCTCAATAAGAAATATTTCTCAAAGTAACAATATTATTCATAAGCTTCAAACCTCTAAAGACGTTGATTGTCGTATTTTAATGACATATAGGTAAACCTTTCTATATAACAACATCTAAATAAAAAGAATTAATATCTCAGAAGTCCTTTGAATGTTCTTTCTTTATTTAAATACTTATTGAAAGCAGTAAGTGGGATATAACTGTAAATTGAAATGTCTAATATTCTGACGTAAATCTTATTTCCCATTTTGATTAGTTCCTAAGAATAGCTCACCCTGCCACTCCTGAGAGCAATTACCAAGGGAGAGGAAATGAGCCCTCCACACCAAGTCAGGAAACTCAAAGGATTTCAGAAGCAGACTTGTTAGTTACTGTGCTATTGTGGTCACTTAATGTGCTAAGTAAAATGGTTCGTTTTTCACCAACAAGGTTTGGGCGCCAAAGGACCCTCTCCCTTCGATTCACCATGAATGAGGAAAGTATCCCTCTCCAGGCTGCTGGCCCCATTGTCTCAGGACTACCTAACCGCATCTCAGTACTTCTCTTGGTCAAAGGACATGCCTCTCAGCTCAGACTCAGAGATTCTACAAACAGTCCCAAGTTTCCCTTGGGCCCTCTAGGGAGACCCCTTTAATATTAGCAAGTTTCTAAGTGGAATTTGTAAAGTCCAAACCTCTGGAGAACTTGTCCACTGGAGCCATGGTGCATACTGAGCTTCTAACTGCCGCTTGGTCAGAGATGAGAAATGGATGTGAACAGCCTCACACACAGGGCCCAGCAGCCTCACGCTTCCCTGGTAATCCAGACCCTGGGCTTTGAGGGTAAGAAAATAGGTTAGCACCACAGCTCCGTATCACCAGGAGGAAAAGTGCTCCAATTACAAAATTTCCCCCAAATCAACAACCAACCAGTTTATAACTGAACTTAGAAAAAAACATATACTACATTCAAATAAGTTCCATTGTGCTTATCTGATTATAAAAGAAAAATATGCTATCAGCAGAGAGAGCCTGGAAAATATAGAAGGGCTCAAACAAGAGGAAAAATATTTTCTTCAACTTCTTTACCTGTATATAAGCTTGTACAAAATCAGGTTCATACTATATATATATATTTTAACCCCATTTCTTTTTAGTTAACATTACTGGACTGCATTTCCCAATGACCTTAATTATTTTAGAACATATTTATAATGTGAATTTTTTTATAAGTTTGGGGCTGAACATTCCCATGGTTCGTGATAAAAAAAATATAAAAGGGTAAATCTCCCTCCTGGACACTTAACTCTCTTTCCTAGAGCAGCTGCTATTATTAATTCCTTGCGCACATTTAGAAGTATTTACACATATAAAAGCAAATGCAAATACAGGATCCTCATCTTTTCACTTAGCAATATGGCTCAGTTTCCTGTATCAAAAAGCCAGGCCTCTTCCTTCTTTTTCACTGCTGTATAGTATTCCACTGTGGATTTTCCAGGATTTTCTTAAGTGATCTCTACTGCCTGACATCTGGCTGTTTCCAAGCTTTTCCTTCTTGGTTGTTATAAATGATACTACAGGAGAACCCTGCACACACACTCTCCTATCTGCAAGCGTGCCAACTGCAGCCCCTCAGCCCTCACTGCCTCCCAATCTCCCCATCTCACATACGTTTTCTTAGCCCAGCTTTCTGTTAATTTTTCCATGCTTCTCTGGCTTCATTCCCTCCCTTTTCACACCAACTCCTTTTCTGTTTAGAGTGAGGCCAGTATAACAACATCTTCTAACCAAAAGCACCAATGGTAGGAAAGGGGAATTTGGCAGGTGAAGACATTTTAAGTGGAAAGTACCAACAGGTATTTGGGGTGTGGAGAAAGTGCAAACCTGATTCAGTTTCAATCACACAGTCTGTGATCGTCTTCCAGCACACTTCACCGCTTTCAGTCACAATACTATTGATATCCCGACTTTCTCTGACTTCAAACCCGAGTTTACAGATCATGTCATACACTGAGGGAGACAGGCATGTGGTAATAGGATCCTTTGGTTGTATCTGAAATAGAAATCATAAATGATAGTGTTTAACAGGAAGTAAAAACAGAAGAGTATTAATTATACATTTATCATTCTATCATAATAAAAGAATATGCTCAGGTATAACTTCTGTTAACACACTGGATATTATGAGAGCTGTGTAACTAAAACATTGTGATTAAATATTAATTGAAAATAATTTACGTAAATATTTTCAAATAAGTAAACATTTAAAGATTTAAATTTTATTGATAGTATTTGTTAGGTGTAAGTTTACAAAAGCTCAGTGTTTTACAGACAGTGCATTTTTCGGCATTCCTTTATCACCCCAAAGTCATCCAAATCAGCAATTTTTTGAAATGGGAAATGGAAAAGCAGAAAATCAGGTGCAATGAATGGAAACAGAAAAAGCAGCGAACCACACTGCTTCCCTGAAGGGTTAAATATGGCCAAAATCCTCATAATCATCCCCACAGTACACCAAGGCCACCTCACAAAACCTGCAGTCGTACCTCAGGTCTAACGCCGACCTGGGTCTTCATCTGATGTGTCAAGCTTGGGGTGTCGGTGCTCTAACATTCCTGATTGCACCCAGGCTGCTCCCCAAGTTGGCAGCTGGCCAGTTTGTTTCCACCCTGCTCCCCCCGGCTACCCTGCCCTTCCTCTCCCACTGACGTGTCACTTTTTTCTCTCTGTGCTGGTTGTCAACCAATCCCCGTGGACCCCAGCAAGAATGGCACTGCCCAAAGAGCCTTGGTGAAGGATTTAGAGGTTTTCCATGACTCTGGGGAACACACAGCTCTTAGCCTGTCAGGGCCCTCGAGAGGGACACTGTGAGATGGCAAGGAAAAGAGGGGACTTGCTCCAGCTGCGTGCAACCTGGTGACTTCCTACTTTCTACTCTTTGAGCATCACCTTCTGCTGCAGCAGCTGAGTCCAGGCTGCAGTGTTCCCAACACTGCAGCTTCACCCCCACCCAGCCCCCAGTAAAACCCTGTGTCGTGTGTCCCCTTCAAAGGTTGCCTTCCAGGTAGCTGAACAGCACAACCTCCTTAGAGATCTGAGTTTCAGCTACCAGGGACCCTCCTCTCTGTGTCTCGTTTTAAAATCCCACCCACTTCCCGTGGCTCCCTGACTGCTTCCTGCAGCTACAACCTCCATGCTTTCAGACATCTCCCTTTACCCTTTCAGATACTCAATTAACAATTTTATACCTAGTTAGCTCTTTAAATTCTCTTAGCTGAAAAATGAGTGTGGTTTGTCTCCTGATTGATGCAGAAATATAATACGTACTCTAAGGGTTACTTTCACATCAAAAGGGATTCTGCATTTTTAAAAGCATTTGAACTCTAAAGGAATGAGCTGCAGTTCTAAAGTGGCAGGTGCAGGCAGAATGCACACTTTTACACAAAAGCACAAAGACTCCACCTCCAAAGTGAGTCCTAGATATGGCAACTTAAGTCGTAAGAAGTCTTGTTTTAGACTATAGATGCCCTATGCACTTGGTTGTGCCTCCAAGCCGTGTGTGACTCTGCAGGCCAGCAGCATGGCCGCGGCACACAGAGATGCGTAACGAAGGGTAACGGCGATGGGCCCCCAGCCCCGAGCTGACTCTACCCTATCCCCTGCCAACACATGCACAATTCCAGTAGTTCACTTTGAGGCCCACACTCTCTTGGACTAGTAAAGATTCTATTAATTTAGAAATTCAACCTCCAACCGACAAACACCAGGCGCTGCAACACTGTCAGCGGTGACAACGCCCCCCCTGCGCTCAGGTGCAAGCACCCTGCCCCCC